CTTTCAAAAATGAATAAGTGTTAAAAAAAATTTTTTTAAAGAAAATCAATTCCTCCCTACTCATCATTAGACAGTGAGCATTTCCCTGCATCCTTAAATATTCTCCCAACAGATGCTTTTTAATGACGGCGTAATATTCCCTCATACAAAGGGACCATACGGCACTTAACCGCTTGCTTCCAGCTCTGTTCTATTTTTATAAGTAGCGCTGAGATGCACATCCCGATATAAACCTTTGTCAGCACTGCTGATTAGTGGAGGTTAGGCTTTTTCTGAAAGGCGCTTTAACCAGGAAGCCACGCGACAAAGAAAAGAAACCAGTCGTCGTTGGGGAAACCTGGAGGAGGGCCGAACACGCCGTGTGGGTCAGCGGCTGCTGTTCCCTCTGCCGCGAATGCTCTCCCACAAACAGCTGCCTGGTGCTCTGCTTCTTTGCGGACGTGTCCCTTCCTCTGAGGAGCCCTCCCTGACTGCCTGACCTAGACCAGCCCCGCCTTCCTCTTGTGCTGCTTCCGTCCTCATAGGGCAGGTCGCCATGGCCCGCCTTCTGCCTTCGTTTGCTGTCTCCCTCCCACTTTAGGACCAGCTCCCTATCTGTTGTGTTTGCTTGTGTCTGTCTCCCTTATGAGAGTGGGGAGATTTTTGTCTTCTTATGCTGGGTCCCCAGTCACCTGCCCGTTTCCCAGCGCACAGTAGGTGCTCAACAGTTACTGAACACACGGATGGATTTCAAGGACACCGAGAAAAGAAACGAGCTATTGGGATTGCCCACCCAGGCAGGCGACGTCCCCTCGGCATCTGCGCCCATCGATCCTAAGACGCTTGGAGCATGTGCGTCTGGACCCTGTCCCCACGGGGCCTCAGCTCTAGTACAACAACAGAGGACAAAGATTCCAGACACTGTGGCTGCCTGTGGCTGGATGGACTGAGGGGGGTGTCCTAGGGCTGGGCAGGGCTGGCCGAAGGCAGCACGTAAAAAGAGAGCCCAGATGAACCTGGAAAAATCAACTGCTCTGTCCTCACCAGCAGAAACTCAACGACAGCCACCTTAGTCCCTGCCTCTGGCGACGAGGGGCTCTGGTGGCTGTATGGAATGCCAAGGGCCGTTGGCAGCTACTAGAAGCTGGAAGAAGCCAAGAAGGATCCTCCCCTACACCCTTCAGAGGGAGCCTGGCCCTGCCTAGGCCTCGGTGTGGGCTTTCCGGCACCCAGACCGCAAGACAGTGAACGTCTGTTGTTTCAGCCACCACTTTGTGGTACCAGATCACTGCTGGGGTTTCGACGACAGCGGGATGGAAAGTTCTAGAAGGCTACTCTGAGTCAGTGGCAGCTACCAGTGGGGTGAGGGTGGGGAATAAAGTGGGACCCCACAGCTCACTCCTCTCCCTCAGGCGCTGCTGGAGTTTTTTACGGGGTAAAATGCTGAAAATGTTTCTGAAAGGAGTGTCCGCCGGGGGGGGAGGGTTCGGCCTACGCAGACCAGGCACGGTTGTAAGCACTTCACAGGCGCCCACCTCACCCAGTCCTCCTTCCCCGTGAGGTAGGACTGTGCTTCTGTTCATACTGCACACGTGGAAGTGAGGCACAGGGAGGCCAAATGACTTGCCCAAGGTTGCACAGCAAGGAAAGGATGGGAACCCAGGCAGTCTGGTGCCTCTGACTCTGTGCTCTCACCGCTTCCCCAAGGCGGCTCAGCTCTAAGCTTCCAGGACAAACATCCCTTCCACCGATGCTGCTTAGGACTAGAGAATCTTCTGGAAATCTGTGGTCGTGCTCACACTTCTCCTCCCACCACTAAGCACATCCCCAGTGTCTTCCCCTGAAACTCTGGAGGTTTTCTCCGGACGCCTGACCCCATGACACAAACCCTTGCCCGTGTTCACAAGTTTCTTAGCTTCTGCTCCCCAGTCCCTTTCTCTGCCCGGCTTCCCTTAACCTTCCTGGCTCCCAGCTGTTTCACTTCCAGGAGGGTTCATTTCCCCTGAAGCCCCCCCTCTCTCACCATGCTTGCAAAGCAAAGACCTAGAGCCCCATAAAAGCCCCCCCCCCACAAGCTTTTGCAAATTGGGTGTAACCTTTTGTCCAGGGTGTTTGCCAGTGAGGCCCAAGAGAGAGACTTACGGAGGCTGTGCTCAGGCAAGGTCTTCATACAAATTAGAACACCGTGTGTCTTTCCTACATCCTTTACTTTTGTCGAAAACTAGAATTGTGGTAGACATTTGTGTCGCCTACGATACAAATTACACTCCTGTGATGCGGTGGCATGTGCAGTGTGTGACACGCACAACTGTCCACGGCACTTGTGCAATCCTGTCCCGGGCGGCACTCTCCACCCCACCCTAAAAGGAGCCACTGATCAGAAGGATGCGTTCCTGGAAATCTCCCTCCACCCGCCAAAGGGAAGCTTCCTTAAGAAACATGAACCGGGGGGCGCCTGGGTGGCGCAGTCGGTTAAGCGTCCGACTTCAGCCAGGTCACGATCTCGCGGTCCGTGAGTTCGAGCCCCGCGTTGGGCTCTGGGCTGATGGCTTGGAGCCTGTTTCCAATTCTGTGTCTCCCTCTCTCTCTGCCCCTCCCCCGTTCATGCTCTGTCTCTCTCTGTCCCAAAAATAAATAAAAAAAAAAAGGTGAAAAAAAAAAATTAAAAAAAAAAAAAAAAAGAAACATGAACCGGGACCAAGAGGAGAGTTCGGGAACCCTGTACGCAGGAGGAAGCCTTCTGGTATTGCTTCCCCAGCAGGCCAAGCCAGGACTCCTATGGGCAGAACCTTAACTGGCAATTTCAGCACTTAGGGCAGGTGGAGAGGACGCTTCTGTGAGTCAACAGAGGGATGTGTGCGGAGCAGCCCTAGGATGCTCCGTGGGGTGGCTACACCCGTGGCATCCTCGTGTTTGATCCTGAATCCCTGACTCCACACATCTCCAGCTGCTGACAGGCGACTGGCCTGGGGCGGGGGGGGGGGGGGGGGG